TTCCATTTTGTGAAAAATATCATTGGAATTTTTTTATAGTGATATATTGAATCTCTACATTGCTTTGGATCATACAGACATTTTAACAATAATTAATTGTTTAAATATATGAACATGGAAGAGTTTTCTATTTTTTTGTGTCTTCTACAATTTCATTTATCAATGTCTTACATTTTTCATTGTACACAACTTTCACCTCCTTAGTTAAACTCATTTATCTTTTCATGTAATAGTAAATTGGAGTGTTTTGTTAATTACACTCATTAATATTTCATTGGTGTATAGGAACACACCACTTAAATTATCAATTATTAAAAAAATTAGAGAAAACGATTGTTGAAACAATATAGAGAAACATGAATGATTGTATGTTGTTGGTAAGAGTACAAACTGACATAGCCACTATGGAAAACAGTGTGGAGTTTTCCTTAAGAAATTAAAAATAGAACTACCCTGTGATCTTGCAATCCAACTTCTGAATATATATCCAAAGATAATGAAATATCTCCAAGAGATATCTCTTCTTCCATATTATAGCAGCATTATTCACAATAACAAAGATATGAAAATACCCTAATATATGGAAGGATAAATATATCAAGAAAATATGATACACATGTGCATGCACTGGAATAGTATTCAGCCTTTAAAAAGGACATTGGTAACAACATGGATGCATGGGGTGGGCATTATGCTAAGTGAAATAAGCCAGACATAAAAATATTGTATTTATATGTGAAATCTGAACAAAGAAAAAAGTCAAACTCATAGAAACAATGAGTAGAAAATTGGTCACAGGGAGTTAGAGGGTGGGGGAAAATAGGGAGACATTAGTAAATGAATACTTTTAATAATAGGATGAACAAAATATGTATTTCTAATGTAAAACATGGTAACTAGAATTGATGACAGTGTATTGTATAACTAAAATTTGCTAAGAAAATAGAAAAGTACTCACACATGAAATAATAAATATTTGAGGTTACAGATATGTTACTATGCTTGATGTCAGGGGATGTCACAGTATATATGCACATCAACTTATATAGTGCATATGAACCATGCTTCAAGTTTATTCGTTAATTTATTTGAACAAACTGGGGGGAAAAGATACTCAAGTTAACTGAGAATGTTTCTATTAGATTAATTTTATACAGGAGGAAGCCAAATAAAAATGGTATTTAATATTTGCCTAAAATCAAATAACTAAGGAGTATTATGTATTCATAATTTATGATCTATTAAATAGTACATTGAGAGACTAGAACATGGAGCAAAGAGTACATTTGAGGAGGGAGAAAGGAATGGAAAATGAGTGAATACAAATAGAGCTAGAGGCTGGGTGAGAGGAAGTGTCAGAATTACCTCCGGGGCTTACAATACTATCACGACTGTTGGGCCAAGTTTACAACCAGGTACCTGTTTTGTGGACACAAGTATACTAAAATTCAGGTAAGTATTCTCCAAAAAAGGATTGTAAATAATTGAAGGATGCTTGTATGCATTTATTCATATATAGTATTATTAAATTTATCAACAGCAGTCTCTAACTAGATCTTATTTTCTTGAGCAGTTTGCCTATGTTCTTCTTGATCAATCTACACATTGGCTGTTTTTCAGCATTTTTCCTTCAGCAGTCAGAGGAGTGAGGACCTCCCACGTCTATGATGGACAGACCTTTAGCTCATCTGTCAAAACAACATGCTTGTTCACTGAATGTCTAGTCACCGAAGAAAAATGCCCGTCTGTTACATCCCATCTATTTTCCTCTCAAAATTAGGAAGAGATATTTTCCTTTTCCACCCAAAAACAAACTTAACAATAACAGGATGGATTTCAAAGAAGAGAAATTACAAAATAGCATGCATTAGACTGACATGCATTTCAGGGTACATATACACAGTTTAACAAAGCTAAGAACTACCTTGCCTCCTCTATTTTATTTTGCAACTTCTGTCATTTGCCAATAAGCATAATATTTTCTTTCTCTCCTTATTTTTAGAACAAACACACAAATTAAGGAAAGGTACAGATAGGTGAAGTTCATACTGATTTCACAACCTAGGCCACAAAAACTTATTATATGTACAAAATGGATTAATAACAATTATAAGAATGCAAGATCTGTTGCTCAATATTGCGAGTCATTAAAATGCATTTTGGCCAGTTCAATGTTTAAATAACAATTACCTGATCTGTTATTTGGAAAAAAACTCCCAGGTTCACTAATTTTATTTATTCAATAATTTATTCAGCACATATATTTCTAGAACACATAGAATATGCAAAGTAATTTGTGAAATGTCAATTATTCTTTTAAGGTCAAATAAATAATATAATAAAACATTGTCAAAGGAAATAGACTATTTTTGAAAATTTCTTTTGAAACCTGACAATAAATAGAAAAATCCACTATTCACCATCATATGTTTTTCTCCGAAGACCTCTTAATCGTACACTCAGGTTTACCTTTAACTATTTGATTTCTTCTTGGCTTGAATCAGAGTTTCTTACTTAACTTTCTAAACTATAGTTTCCAAATTTCTAAACAGGTGAAACTGAATTACAATGAAGGTTATACTCATTGTGTGATTCAAATTGTTCTTCTTTGCAATTCAAAATCCGCATTCATAGAGTTAGGATTCCTTAAAGATTTTGATTTTGCTGACCACTCAAAACAATGATAGCAAGACACACTAAATAAGTACTTGTGGAGGTAAATTGAATTGGATTGTCTTAAGTCATTTGCAATACTGAAAATAGAAGCGAGTTTAAAGGAGTTAGTTGAATGTAATATGTTCTGTCTTCCTATGGCAAGATATTTAAACTGATTTGAACTAGACTGCTAGGCTACATGGGGGTTCAAGGTAGCAAGAATAGTTAGGTCAAAATCAAATTGTAAAACATACATTGCACGTGTCCTTTTTAAGGAATCCACAAGCTAACTTTGCCCATTTAGGATGTTTCCCTAGGAAACACCCAATGCCTTTATTGAGCGAAATGGTTGTAGGTTAATTGACCCTCCTAGTTGCATGTGTTCTAAATCTCTCCTGTAATGGCTGGAAGTGTTGTACTTTTAAACAGCTTCAGGTGTGAGAGAATGGTCACAGGGAAGGCTGAAGGACATTTGAAAAGTCTTCTTGACACCCTGTAATCTTATCAATTTCAAGATCCATTCTATAGGTGGTCCAGGAACACAAATGTAACAGATTTGAGCAAGAAAAAGGCCTTTCTTCATCCACTTCAACCTTTTCTAGATTTTGATTTTAACTCTAGATGTGGATGGAACTGGCAAAGAGAGGGATTCTGCTTCATTCCATGTGTGCCTTTCTATCAGAAAGTTCAGTTATGTTGTAAGTCAGTGATCTTCTGTCCTAGAAGTTTATGTGGCTATCCTGGAATCAATTAGCATTCAACCACAATTTTCAAGAGTGTGTGTGGCACATGGTATAAATTGTGGGCAGATTATGAACTAGAAGACATAGTCCTTGCTCTCAGAGAGCTGACAGTTTAATTGTTTCTCAGGCCTGGTTATGACATGGATAAAGGTCAGATTTCCCGGGACTTAAGGTGCCTCAGTGAGTACATTTCTTCTAACTAAATTTAAAAGGAGATTTTATCTGTGAGAAAAGCACAACTTTAGGAAAGTCTATAAAAACATACCTAAACTACAGAAGAAAAGGTGTAAAAATACTGTCAGGAGAAAAGCTGGCTGTATACCTTTTAGAAGGAAATGAGAGACTCATCAAGGATTCCAGCAGTGGGGATCAGTATGGCGATGACCTGCATGTTCACAATGAATAATCCAGACTAGTATCTATTTATTTCAATTCTGAACCAAATATAGGTATTTCAAAATATTTAACATTAAAATTTTCTCTCATCTCTTCCGGAATTCTTGACATCACTGACATGTGTCATTTCTGTCACATAAATCTGCTAACTCAGAAATGCAGGAGCTGTATGAATTTCTGAGGTTTGGAGGAGGAAAGGTCATTTTTACATGTCTGTGCATTTTTAGATAATTAACTTAAAAAATCACATAAAGGCAAGCTGGTCAAAATGTGCAGGCTTTTAGTATTTTAAACCTTTTGCTTTGCAGATCTAGATGTTTTCCTCTCTCCCCATCTCCTTTGTGGTCTCTGATCCTATCTTCTACCTTTCCCCATGGTCTCCACTGGGACCCTTTATCAAGAAATACTGATTCTGATCATGTTCTCCATATCATTGTGTTAAATAATCTTTCAGTCAGATGTTAGATATCCTACATTTCATATTACATTGAAGTTGATCACTCTTTTTCATCCATAGATACATGGAACTCAAGCTATTTCAGAAAGTGTTAAAAACAATAAAATGAAATACATTGACATACCTGAGCTTTGTATACAGAGTAATTATAATTAACCATTATAATCTCCACATTATCTATCTATCTATCTATCTATCTATCTATCTATCTATCTATCTAACAGTCTATCATCTGATTGGAAGTCACATTGGAGAGAAAATAAGTTAGAAATGCTTCGAGAGTAATTAGTAATCCCACATCACCTACATGCCAGGCTCCCTGTATAAATGGAAGTTGTGAAGATACACTATCAGTTGATTTATCCTTGTGATATTTCCTTCCATAAGTTTTATATTTTAAAAAAATATGGATAATAAATGGAAAGAAGAAAGCTTAAAGGATAATGAAAAGTAAAACAAAAGTAATCATAAAAATACATAGCTTACACAAATGAACAAAGTGGAAGGATTGGAACCATATTCTCACATTTCTGATTAAGCTGAATTGTTTGTGAAGGAGTGTATTTGAGGAGAAGGAAAAAGGAGGTCAACTCAAAAATTCCTCACATGCAAATTCTTCTGTCTTTTTAGTTTAAGTTTAACTTTTCTCATGAAAGATGGAATCACTGGTATCTGTTCAAGGCCATTACAATTTAGTAGAATGTCTTGAAACATAAATGAATTTGTTCAATGAAACTTTGTTCCCCAAATGTTAAAAAAAGAAATCTCCTCGCCAAAACATGCAAATCAGCGGTTTTGAAGATATTACTTTTTCTGGGTTCTTTTTTCATTTTTGACCATCTTCAAACTGAAAAGTGGAAAAGAGGCAGGTAATAGTTTAATTTGTTATTAAGAGTAATTACTGTCTGGTCTTTGAGGGTTATTTCTATGTAAGTTTTGAATAGAAAACCATTTAACATATATTTATCTTTGTAAGCTGCTCTAAATGATCAGCAAATACCTTCTCATCATTTAAAAGGAGCCATTTAAAACATTCTTATTCTGATAAAAGAAAATTATAACCTATGAGAACATAGAAACTAAAGTAGTATTTAAGCCATGATAGATGCTTACAAGGAGGAAAGACATATTTAGTCAGCACATGTTTCTTTGATTGTACTCTTTTGATTATTAATAGATAAAAATTCTATTTTTGTGTGTTGCTGTGAACTTGAGTTCTAGTCAACTAATAAAAGAAAAAAGTAGAATGTAAGCTTTATGAAATATTTGAATTCAAAGACTTTTTGATGCCTTTTGATTTAAATAATTTACAGACAAATCAAATACTCACAAGAGTATTGTATTTTTGTTAAAAAATATTATAATGTTATCTACATATTTTGCTTTGGTTTATTTGTCTATTCTTAACAAGTTAAAGTATTTATTGAGTTTCTGAAAATGCCAAGCATTTTTCTAGCTTCTGGGGATATAGCAATAAAAAAAAAAAAATCCTGACACAGTTACTGCTGTCATGAAACTTGCTTTCCAGAATATGGAGACAGGAAATAAACAAGAACCATAAATAACTATTTGATTTTTTTGAGTTATAATAAATGCAGGAAAAACAAATAAGACAGAATAAAAAGAATAGGGAGTTACAGATTCAGATTAGGGATAGCTATTACATTGGACAGACCAACTAGAAAAACTTTACAGATATGTAGGTAACTGATACTGATGACTTCAGCTAAGGTGCTAGTAATGGGTGTAATGACAAGTGACTAGGCTTTGAATACTTAGAGTTAAGGCCCATAAAATTTGCTAGTGCATGGAAGTTTCAGTGTGAAAGAAAGGACTATGGGAGAGTATATGCATTTATGCCTGAGCAACTGGAAAAATTGAATTGCCATTTATTGAGATGAGAACCACTAAGTAAATGGCAAGTTTGGGGTCAGTTAATAGGAATCATGAGTCTGATTTTATGTATGTTAGGTTTCAGGTGTCTCAATAACATCTAAGTAGTCATATTAGAGAGGCAGTTGGATACACAAGAGTCTAAGAGTTCATTGTAAACATAACTTTTGGAGTATCTATAAAGAGTATTTAAAGCCTTAAGATTAAATGAAATACATGACAGCAGTGAGTGGATATCAAATAAAACTAATGAACAGCAAAAAGAAAATAAGAGGTCTAAGGCCTGAGTCTTGTAGTCAGGTGGTTATTTGTTTTTTGGGTTTGCAGTGATGAGCAAGAACTGGCAAAGAAACTGAGAAGATATAAACAGGGAGGCAGGATGACTTCAAGAGGATGTGGTGTCCTCAAAGAGACATCCAGAGAGAGTTTTAAGACGGAGGTAAACAACAACCATATGTCAAAATATTCTCCTCAAATAAGAGGACAAATAATCATTAGTTACGTAATAGGAAAGGTTAATGTGACCTGATGAGTCTATTTATATAAAAATTACCTCCAAATGAGTTTTCCTTTATAAATTTCATTGATAAGAATCTTAATGTATTCCAAACACTTAGAATAGTGCCTGTGACATAGTGATGCTCAATAGAAACTTGTTGGATTTTTTTTTTTTTTACCCTTTTAGGGTTTGTAGCATTGCTAGAAGAAAATGAAGATCAGATCAGAGTAAGAGGAATATCATTCATGTTCTTTAACCTAAACGAGTATTGGATTTAAATAAATGAGTATATATTTATGCTTTTTCAAATTAATAAAAAGAAGGAATAGCATAAGCAAAAGTGTTATGTGGGTGAAATATCTTAGAATCCCAGAATTAAATGTTAATTCACAAAATTCTTATTTATTTCTTTTTAGGTTTATGACAATGTCAGTGACTTCTTACTATGAAGTGATGACATGGACCTTTCAATAAAAAGTTTAAAATTAATGTTTCAATTACTGAACACAAGGAAAATTTACTAGTTCAAAGTCTTCACTCTCTAAGGTTAAAAAGGGGGGATTCAAAGAAGAAGAAAATGCCATTTGTTTTACTCAAATTCTATAAAAAGCTAAAAGTAAGAAAAGATTACTTTAAAACTATAAACTGTTGGTAGAAGTAGACATATGCTTGGGAGCCTATTAAATTAAGAAGCAGGTAATTTTAAAAATTATATCTTGATCATTTTGGCATTCATTTATCTAATAATTATGATCATTTACTATATGATAAATATAATGTTAGCATAATCTTTGAAGACAGTTGCTAGTTTCCTGTATCATCTGCTTTTTCTTCCTTATTATGAAAACACTTCTTTTCTTTAGGGCAAGATTATGTCCAATACAAAATACTCACAATTCCAAAATCTGCTGTAACAAGAGTATTAAATATGTGATGTTATCATGGCAATAACATATACTTGAAAATCTCAGTTATCTTAGGAAAATTTTTTGCCATCTCCAGTTCCTCTTCCTTTTCTTTGTATCCACACAATGGATGAGACACTGAGAGGTGAAACAACCATCTTGTAAGCATGAATCAGGGTGAAGGGGGAGGCTAGCAAACTGGAAGAGTGGGGCCATTTTCTGTTGGTGCCATTGAGCTGCAATTCTTGCTCTGGTCTACCTAACACTGGAATTCTGGTTTTATGAGAAAAAAGCCCCTATCTCTATCTGTTGTCAGTTGTTAAATTTATTACTTAACCATATGACACCCTCAATGTTGTCATAGTAGAGTATAGGAACAATACCATTAAATATATAATTATACTTCAAGGTTATAAGTTCAACAAAAGAAGTCAGCCAAAACAAGAACATGAGCAGTGAATGACTCTGTCTAGAGGGCACAAGAAACAATTTAACTGCAATTTATCCAAATCTTATAGTATGAATAGTTATAAACCTGAAGAAAGCAAGGAGATTCTTTCTAAAGAGAGAAAACAGCATAATGCAAAAAGATTAAAGTTGCAAAGAGCATGGTGTATTATATAAAGTATTCTGGTGTGACTGGGACTGAAGAGGAAGTAGATTATTATTAAGAATTCAAGAAGACTGTAAGGCAGAAGGAAGAAAATGAAGGGTCTTTTGGCTTACGTTATAGAGATTGGGTTTAACTTTGGAGGCAGTGGGAAATCACTAGAGGATTTTAAGCAGGGTCTGACATTATCAATTTGTGTTTTAGATAGAGTTGGCAGCAATGTAGGGTATGAAACATAAGTGCCATCTCTCTTTCCTCCAAATCAACCAAGAAGATATTGAATAAAATCCAAACATGCGGAAACTAAGGGATAAATACTGTCGTCAAGTATATGAAACATTTATGAGAATGATGCTCAGTAGTTGTTCTGAGTGTGTGTGACAGACCAAACACAAAGGAATACACTTGAATCAAAGCAGGGGAGTTGAGTTGGACCTTAAGCAAAAATATCTCTATTGAGAACTTCTCTGGAAGGGGATACCACGAAAATAAGCAGAGATGGCCAACTGGAAATTTTCTCTCTTTAAATAGCTGGGAGAAATAAAAAGAGCTATCAGTTCTAGAGGATTTTTAGTTATTCACTTGCCTGACAATAAAGGGTATGATATCTTATGCTTTTTTTTTTTAAGATTTATTTATCTATTTATTTATCCAAGCACTAGATACATCAGAAGCGCGGGAGGGTGAGAGAATTCACCAGAGCCAGAGCGGGAAACAGAACAGGCAGACTGATGATACACTGCTGAGGGGAGCAGCGGGCAGCAGGAGAGATATGCGCGCCATGTGGGATCCTCGCCCGGCGACGGGGATCGAACCAGTGCTGCAGAGGCTGCAGGCAGCTTCGCAGCCCAGTGCTCAACCGCTGCACCACCAGGGGAGGCCCGATATACTATGCTTTTAATACACTTTAGCTTGTCTTATGATCCTTAAAGTATAAAAGTGAAGTATCCCATCTACCGCACCCCTTAACTAAACTACCTAGAGTATAACAAATAAAGTTCAAATTACTTGCATTCATGATTACTTATTAATATCCTCAATAAAATGGCCATTTATACTAATAGAAATACACATTGTAATAAGTGTCCCACAATAGTTGTCATAATAATTTGATATATATTTTTCCCACATGATACCTTTCTATTTTACTAGTTAAGAGTTCCATGTGCAAGCAGATTTGATAAATGAGATCACAAAAGGTTAAGTATTTCTATATTGCAGAATAATACAAAACCATCAATAGAGTAATGTTTATTTGAATTTCTAATAAATTGATCTAAGACTTTACCCAAGAGTGTTTTAATCATTTTTAGCTGTTGTAACAAAACACCACAGATTTTACTGGGCGGATTAAAGAAAGGACATTTATTTCTCACAGTTCTGAAGGATTGGGAGTCCGAGATTAAGATGCCGGCAGATTACTGGTTTGCAGATATTCCCCATCTTGCTGCATGTTCATATGGCTTTTCCTCTGTGAATTTCTCTCCTTCTCTGCTATAAGAATCTAATTCCATCATGGGAACCCCACTCTGATGACCTCATCTAAATTTAATTATCCACCTAAGGCCCCACCTTGGGGATCAGAGTTTCAATAAATATGAGGGTAGGAAGCAAACATTCAGTCCTTAACAAAGAGGATGATAGAATTCACCAAGGAATTTAATTTTTATAAATTTAGCCACAAACCACTTAGGAAAAAAATGCTAACATAAAATGATGGGATTTCTGAATTTTGAAAAATATAATATAGAGACAGTCAAGTAAAATCCCTCCAGTTCCTTAGTGCTATCTTCTTTACATAGTTCCTGTTGGCCCTACAAACAATGATCCCTACTTTTAAAATTCCCTCATTCTTTTAAGAAACTGGATTAACAATTATCACATTGGCTTTTGTTGCAACTGTTAATGTGATTATCTTAACTTTTCTTTTTTTAACTTTT